TTGTGATGCTTTTTTTTTTTTTGCTTAGGATTGCTTTGGCTATTCTGGGTTTCTTATTATTCCAAATGAATTTCATGATTGCTTTTTCAAGTTCTTTGAAGAATGTCACTGGGATTTTAACAGAAATTGCATTAAATATTATAATAGTTTTACACTAAATCTGTATAATGTCCATTTTGACAATATTAACTCTGTCTATCCAAGAGCATGGAAGATCTTTCCATCTTCTAAGGTCTTTTTCAATTTCCTTCTTTAGTGTCCTGTAGTTTTCATTGTAGAGGTCTTTCACCTTTTTAAAATTTATTACCAAGTATTTTATACTTTTTAAGCTATTTTGAATGGGGTAGTTTTCCTAATTTCTCTTTCAGTGGATTCATCACTTTTGTATAGAAATGCATTTGATTTATGGGTATTGATTTTATATCCTGCTACTTTGCTGAATTCATTGATTGGTTCTAGAAGTTTTCTGGTGGAATTTTTTTGGACCTTCTAAATATAGAATCATGTCATTGGCAAATAGTATTAGTTTGAGTTCTTCTTTTCCTATGTATATCCTTTTAATTTTTTTAGTCTATCTGATTGCTCTGGCTAGAATTTCAAGGACTGTGTTGAATAGAAGTGGTGAAAGAGGGTATCCCTGTCTTGTTACAGTTTTTAGAGGAAATGCTTCCATTTTTTCTCCATTTAGAATGATGTTGGTCTTGGGCTTAACATAGATAGCTTTTAAAATGTTGAAGTTTGATCCTACCATTCCTAGTTTTTCTAGTGTTTTGAACRTGAAGAGGTGCTGTATTGTATTGAATGCTTTTTCAGCATCTATTGAGATAATCATATGATTCTGCACCTGGCTTTTTTTTTTAAAAAAATATTTATTTATTTATTTAGGTGCCAGGCATTGAACTAAGGGATGCTTAACCACTGAGCCACATCCTGATACCTTTTATTATTATTATTATTATTTATTTTTTAGTTGTGGTTGGACACGATACCTTTATTTTATTTATTTTTATGTGGTGTTGAGAATTGAACCCAGGTCCTGCATGTGCCAGGTGTACACTCAACCACTGAGCCACAACCCCAGCCCATTATTATTATTATTATTATTATTATTTTTAAATTTATTTTTTAGTTGGACACAATATCTTTATTTATTTATTTTTATGTGGTGCTGCAGATGGAACCCAGGGCCTCACACATGCTAGGCGAGCACTCTACCGCTGAGCCACAACCCCAGCCCTATTATTATTTTTTAAAAAATATTTTTTAGGACTGGGGATGTGGCTCAAGCAGTAGCACRCTCGCCTGGCATGCGTGCAGCCCAGGTTCGATCCTCAGCACCACATACAAACAAAAATGTTGTGTCTGCCAAAAGCTAAAAATAATAAATATTAAAATTAAAAAAAATGTTTTTTAGTTGTGGATGGACCCATACTTTTATTTTATGCATTTATTTTTATGGGGTGCTGAAGATCAAACTTAGTGCCTCACATGTGCTAGGCMAGTGCTCAACCTCTGAGCCACAACCCCAGCCCCGCCGTTTTATTATTATTATTTTATTTTTGAGACAGGGTCTCACTAAGTTGCTTAGGTCATCACTAAGTTGCTGAGGTTGGATTTGAACTTGCAATGCTCTTGCCTTAGCCTCCAGAGTCACTGGAATTACAGATGTGCTTCACCGTGCCCAGCATCTTTCTGTTCATCCATCTGTGTATTTAGCTCTGGGATTTAGTTGAGAGTAAGAGACAGGTTCCCCCAGTTTTCATTGATCCAACCAATACATCTTCTATGGGCTTGGCACTGTGTTAGGCACTGAGGATAAACCAGGAAGTAAGATCCTATCCCATCTGTCCGTCCTTTCTCCCTCCCTCTCTCTTGTTCATTCATTCATTCACTTACAGATATCTCTTTGTGCTGACCTAGCTATACAGCCTGGTTCATTTTGCTGACACCTTCATCTTGGCAGAGGCTGGTGCATGTTTCAGGCCTCAGTGCTGTTTATAGAACCCAGCATCAGATTTTGCCACACCCCATGCTGTTTGAAAAGTGCCTCACTATTGCCAGATCCTGGTCTGTGACCCTCAAGTTCTGGCTCCTGCAGTTAGGCAGAYGGATAACTGAGCTCCACTCTTCAGCCTGCTCTCTCCTACCCTGCTTCTCCTAGCAGCTCCTCAACACTTCAGGTTGCACTTTCTGCTGCCCAATGACCCCYTCTACAAAGTGGCCACATTGGTGGGTCCTTCCCACTTGTCCATTTCCTGTAAGAAGGAAGAAGGAGCCTGATTGGGCCATCTGCCCCAGTTCCTCTCCATGATCCTGTGGCTCTCAGGTGTCTCTGATCCCAGCTGTCCTAGCTGCCCTGGGCACAAGGACGCGTATGTGGAGAAGCTGCAGGGTTACCTATTAACTCAGCCAGGAGTTGAAGGGCTGATGGGCAGTAGGCGGACTTGACTTTCCTTTCCGTCCATGGGCTTGGGCCGCTGCTTCAGATCCAACAGCAACTTCAAGATGGTCTCCTGGTCGGTGCTAATGAGGATACAAGCAACACTGCAGAAGGAGATGGTGCGGGAGTTCCTGGCTGAGTTCATGAGCACGTATGTCATGATGGTGAGTGGATGGGGGGCATGGGGTGGGGGAGTGCAGCAGGGGCAGTCCACAAATCTCTCCCAGCACTGATCCCATGAGGCATACTGTTACTTCCTCTGCCTCTGATCTGGGAGTCTGAGAAGAAAGCACAAGAAAGTAGGTGAAAGGCTTTGCTCAACAAGTCCTTTTGGGACAGAAAGGGCTCATAATAAACCAGGACAGGGTGAAACCATGAGCTGGGGAGTCAAGGGGCATAGATGGCAGTGGGGAAAAGGAAAACCAAGGGTAAAGGGGCTGCTGAAAACCTTGAATGTCAGGCTTTGAAAATTAATTTTGAGGACAATGGGGAGACATTGAAGGTTATCAAKCTGGGGAGTGATATGGCCATATCTGGATTTTAGAAGGTAGCTTTTGGGCACAGTGTGGAGACTAAGCAGAAAAGGCTAGGCTGGAGGGAGAGGAAGGAGCCAGTTAGGAGGCTGATCTAGATGGAATAGAGAGAGGGCTGTGCCAGGCATGGCAGCACATACCTGTAATCCCAGCGGCTCAGAGGTTGAGGCAGGAGGATCGTGAGTTAAGGCCCTAAGCAACTTAGAGAGACCCTGTCTCTGACTAATATAAATATATAAATATATATATATAAAGTGGCTCAGTAGTTGAGCACCTCTGGGTTCAATTCCTGGTACCAAAAAAAAAAAAAAAGAAGAGGAGGGCTGTGACATGGTTGGGGATGGCAAAGAAAGCCCATATATAGAATTGTAGGAGATGGAATCAAGGAGACTTTGCAAGCAACAGATGTCTGATGGGCCATTCTGGAGCATGGAGCTAGTACAAGAAGAGGTGAGGTTGGTTTGGACGTGATCAGGTGAGATGTCWGTGGAGAATTCAAGAGGTAATAAATTGAATACAAGGCTCTGGAGCTCCAGAGAAGTTGGGCTGGGAGGAAAGAGAGGAAATGCATTAAATTGGGTAAAATTGTGCAGAGAGAATGAACCTGTGTGAGAAGGACTCTGGACACCTGGTTTCTTACCCTAACCCACAAAGTCACCAGCAGGTCTTGGGCAGGTCTCTTCTGGCTTTGAGCTTGTCTTCTCAGTTTTCAAGTATATAGCATCTAGCCTTCACGGGCTTTGGAGCTATTTGTGCTCTGGCTCTGCTATCTTCTAGCTGTATGTGATCTTCCACCAGCATTTAAACTGCTCAGAATGTTAGTTTCCTTTTGGAAAATGGGGACACTAGCATCAAGGTGGCAGACTTGTGTGAAGAAGGCCAAGTGCCAACACTTAGCACAGAGGTGTTAATACATATGTGTTGGTCCTTGTTATTATGACAAGTGCTCTCAGCTGCTTTTTCTTCCCTGCATCCCATTCTCTTACCCTCCTCCCTTACCTGCTTTGCCTCCTGAGCTGTAAGGACAGCASCCGGATCCTGTCCCTCCTTGATCCAGGAGAAAGTAATTCATTTATGACAAGACATTCYAGTCCCATGAGGGCTGTTAAACCTTGGAACCTCAGAGGCAGGAGGGTGCCTCTTTGGAGAGCCTTAGGGAAAGCAAGCACTGCCCGCATGCCTTGATACTTGCCCACATCTACCTTCCCTTTTTTTAAAAAAAATTTTTTTATTTAGATAATTGTTGAGCACTTACTGCATACCMAACACTCTGATGCTAAACCCCTTACATGTGGCATCATCCCAAACCCTCACAATGACCCTGTGAAGTAGGTACTGTTGTTAGCCCCCATTTCACAGATGGGGAAACTGAGGCTCTGTGAGACTAAATCATTGGTTTAGTCATACTTTAAGATTAAATCCATAAGGGAATCCCATTATCATGCCCACCCACAAGAATGGGGTCCTAATTAGAGTAAGATATATTCTGTACTTAAATAATGTTATCAAAATTGATTCTACTGTTATGTATAACTAAGAAGAACCAATAAAAAATACTCACAAAAAATTAAATCTAGCCCAGTCTAGTATTAATTTTTTTTCTTTTGGTATTGACATCTGAACCCAGAGCCCTTTTTATTTTCTAATTTGAGACAGAGTCTCACTCAGTTACCCAGGCTGCCCTCAAACTTGAAATCCTTCTACCTCAGCCTCCCAAGTCACTGGGATTTCAGGTGCACACCACTATGCCTGGTTTAATATCATAATCTTGACCTTTAACCTCTATGGTCTGTCCCTTAGTTTAGAGATCACAGGCTCTCTAAGGCTGTCTTGTTAACTCCCCGCCTGCTATGATATGACCCTTGCTTTCAGGCATTGGGTAGTTCAAGACCCCTGTCTGGGCTGCAGTTTTTCTACAGTGGGAGCAAAAACACTTGCTACACAGATTTGCTGTGAGGATTGAAAGGAAGCAATGCTTTTAAAAGAACGTTGTGAGGTTTAAGCTCATGAAGGACATTGTATTGTTGTTATTTTTAGTTGCCAGACATGTGCCAAGAAGTGGGGGCTTTTTCAGTTGATAGGAAGCTCAGTGAATCACCAGGGTAAAGGTTTTGCCAAAAAAAAAAAAAAAAAAAAGGCTAGCGTGACCTTGGGTCCCATTTATTGCAGCCAGGATGAGGGAAGTGAGCTATTCTACTCTATAACCTCTAAGGTTATTGTCCTCAAAGCTGGCTTCCTGGCTATTGGGGGGACTTTGATGGGCTGGGTTACATTCACTTACCAGAGAGGGGAGAGGCTGGAACCATCGGTTCCCTGGAAACCCAAAGCTGTGTATGTGAGCAATAGGGCAAGGGTTGCAAACTCATATGCTACAGGGGCCAAGAATGTCAACTCAGGGTGGTAGGGACTTGGACACAGAGTGCAGACCTGTGTAAGGGTGTAACTGCCACTGCTCCAGCTGGCTGTTACCATGGAGGTGGAATACAGGCCAGCATGGCCTCAGCTTCTTATTTTGCAAGAGGACCTGAAACTTCTGTTTTTTAAAACCAAAACCTGTGTGCTGGATGGATTAGGTATGTGTATTGCCAATTGGCAACTCTGATACAGAGAATCATGTGGGATTAATTCACTCATTCATTATTTTTCTTTTTTTTCTTTTTCTTTTTGGTGCCAGAGATTGAACTCAGGGGTGCTTAACCAGTGAGCTACATCCTCAGCCCTGTTTATATTTTATTTAGAGACAGGGTCTCGCTAAGTTGCTTTGCACATCACTAAGTTTCTAAGGCTGGCTTTGAACTTCTGATCCTCCCGTCTCAGCCTTCCGAGCTGCTGGGATTATAGGCATGCACCGCTGTGCTTGGCTCATTCATTATTTTTAAAAAAACATTATGTTGACATGGGGAAAACAGAAATGAGGGACCCTCAGTCTTCAGACTCTCCATGCCTGCTTCAGTCCCTTCACCCCCTGGGAGGTCCCCCAACTAGCCTGGCATGGCCTCACTCCTCCTATTCCTGTCAGTTCCTGTCCTCTCCTGCTGCATCCTCTCCTGGCCTTAAGCCAGCCATCTCTGGGCTCCCCTGCACCTTTCCTGGATTCCTGAGGGAACCAGTGAGCCATGCTCAACTGCCTGTCCTCTGTCATACCTGGCTATTTCACACTTTCTCAGACTTCCTTGAAACTGCTCTACATCTGCCTGTTTTTTTTTGTTTTTGTTTTTTTTTTAATTAGCAAATAGTTTGATCTCCTGGTTGACAGAGAAAATCWTTGGGCTAGCTTCCTGTGTTTCCTGGAAACCCAGCTATGTATGTGTGTCTACCTCCTTTTGTTCCTGTCCCTCTCACCACCTGTTACCTACCTGTGCATCCACACATTTCTCCTAAGCTAGGGTGTGTCACCTCCTTCCTGGAGGACTCCTCTACTTCAGTCCATTCTTCCAGCCCACTCASGCCCTTTGCTCTTTTTTCTTTCTTTCCTCTATCTTCAGCACGCCCACCCATAAACATACCAAAATCTCTCCACTTAACAGAACAAAACATCTCTCCCTTCATCTTGTGAACCTGTCATTTATCATACACTCTCACTTCTCAAAGAAGTTCTCAAAGAAGTCTCTATACTGGTACATTTTAATTCTCATCAGCTGGGATTGTAGCTCAGTGCTGGAGCACTTGCCTAGCATGAGTGAGGCCCAGGGTCCAATCCCCAGCACTGCAAAAAAGTTACCTCTGCTGGGCGTGGTGGTGCCCAACTGTAGTCCCAGATACTCTGAAAGCTGCAGCAGAAAGATAGATCCCTTGAGTCCAAGAATTTGAGGCCAGCCTGGGCAACATAGTGAGACCCTGTCTCAAATAAATGAATTCTTCCTTACCGCCTTACCACTTACCTAACAATCTTTCCTGGCTTCTGCCCCAACCCCCCACACCCATGGCCTGATAACACAGTGCTCATCATGTTACTAATGACCGCTGGATTGCCATCCAAAGGAATGTGCTTTCCAGGCAGGTCTTCATACTTGTGATCCAGAGGCTGCATATGACTAACCAAGTTGACCATGCCCTCCTTGGGAAAACCTCTCCCTGGTGTACTTTCTTTGTTCTCCCATTTTAACGCCTGCTCAGCTGAGATTTCTAACATCCACCCATAAATGCTGACTCTAATCAGCCTCCAGCTGTGTGCCCCCCTTCTCCTGGGGCCCTATTCACCCATGGCTTCATTGCAGTTCTCATGTCCATAATTATTTAGATTTTCTATTTCCTAAGCTTTAGAGCAGAACTGGTCAAGGGAAATAGAATTTGAGTTACATACTTTAAAATTTTCTAGTAGCTACATTAAAAAAGTAAAGAGCAACAGGTGACAATAAGTTGTATGTTATTATATTTAACCCATGTATCCAAAATCCAACATGTAGTCAACATAAAATCGTTAAGCTAATTCACATTCTCCACTTCCAACTAAATCTTTGAAATCTGGCATGTGCTTTACACTTAGAGCAGATCTCAATTGGACAGTCCCATTTTAAGTGCATAACAGTTGCATGTGGTCACATAAATAGATATCCTTTTTTTGTTGTTGTTGTTATTTGGTTCTGGGGATTGAACCCAGAGGCACTTAGTCACTGAGTTATATCCCATACCTTTTTTTTAATATTTATTTTTTAATTGCAATTGGGCACAATACCTTTATTTATTTTTATGTGGTGCTAGGATTGAACCCAGGGCCTTGCACATGCTAGGTGAGTGCTCTACCATTGAGCAACAACCCCAGCCCCAGCCCCAGACCTTTTTATTTTTTATTTTGAAATAAGTTCTAAGTTTATGTTGGCCTCACTAAGTTGCTGAGGCTGGCCTTAAACTTGCAATCCTCCTGTCTCAGCCTCCCGAGTCACCGGGATTACAGGTGTGTGCCACTATGCCTAATTTTTCACATGTCTAGATAACTTGCATAACACATATCTAGACTCTGATTTCTAGAAGCTAGACCTAAAACACATGGACATTTCAAAGAAGGTGACTTCTGAGTTTGATCTTACAGAATATTAAGTTTTTCAGAATATAGGATCAAGTATTCCAGCAGAAGGAACAGTATATCCAACACAGAGGCCTGAGACAGCAAGGAATGCATGGAGTAATGCAATTGTTTGATTTGAGACCACCTGTCATGGATCTGATCATGTTTCACTGTGTTACAGGCTGTGTGACCTTGGATAAGCCATTCAATTTCTTTTTTTTTAAAATTTTTTTAGTTGTTTATAGGCCTTTATTTTATTTATTTGTATGTGGTGCTGAGAATCGAACCCAGTGCCTCACACATGCCAGGCAAGTGCGCTGCTGCTGAGCCCCAGCCCCAGCCCCACCATTCAATTTCTTGAAGCTTCACTTTGCCCATCTATCAGTTGGGGAGAGTAATAGTGCTCCGAATAGAAATATCCTTCAGGTTGGCCTGAAGTATAAGATGCTTTGAGGGGTGCAGTTCACACCAATTATCCCCTCTTTGAAGCCCTGCTCACAACCCAAACTACAGGTGTGGGCTCAAGGTCAAGGTACCTGGATATATCTTAGGAGCCTCTGACTTTCCCACCTGTCCCTGYCTTCTTTCAAACCCATCACCTAGCTCTCACTGGCTCAGGTATGAGAGATCTCTATGGGGTAAGGGAGAAGAGGCCATGAGAGAGAAGGCTCTGGAAAAAGAGGGCACAGCAGAAGGTCTTTAAGGGCAATACTGGGGAGGCCTAGGACATGGGGGTGGTGAGGAGCTAGAACTGACTTCAGAGCTCTCCTCTGGGGTTGGGACTTCTGGGCAGGCAGCCACCTCAGAAACTCTTTTTTTTTTTTTTTTTTTTGCAGGTATTTGGCCTTGGTTCTATAGCCCATATGGTTCTAGGAGGGAAAAAATTTGGGAGCTACTTGAGTGTCAACTTGGGTTTTGGCTTTGGAGTCACCATAGGAATGCATGTGGCAGGCAACATCTCTGGTGAGTAAGCCCAGACCCCTTCTGATTGGGCAAGACCAGGTATTCCTGGCAAGCTGTTTCCTGCCCACCTCCAGCCAACCTTGTCTCTGATACAGCTGGTGCCTCACCCTTACTGGCTAACTGAAGGGAGGATGTGCCTCCGAACYCCTTGCCTTGGCTGCATGTCTTCCCCAGACTCTTCATGAACCCTTTTGACAGCGCCCCTGCCCCTGCCCCTGCCCGTTTTACAAGCTGGGTCATCTTAGGGAAATTATTCACTTCTGTTTCTCATTTTCCTTGATGGTGAAATGGAGATGGTGGTCCTTACTTTGTGGCGACCATTGTAAGGGTTCAATGAGAAAGCCTTTGTTACAGTACACACTCCATAAACACTCACCATTACTATTTATTATTGCTGTTGCTGTTAATATTATTCATCTTATCCTTTGTTTCTGCTCTCAATCTCCCCTACACCTGCCCCTCCCCACAGGGGCCCATATGAATGCAGCTGTGACCTTCACCACCTGCGCTTTAGGTCGCATGCCTTGGAGGAAGTTTCCTGTGTATGTTCTGGGTCAGTTTCTGGGCTCCTTCATGGCTGCTGTCACCATCTACAGCCTCTTCTATAGTGAGTGTTCTCTCCCGGGTAGTCTGCCTCCAGTCTCAGCCTCTTCTGAAACATGGGCATATCAGGTCTTGGTGTTCCAGTTCTGTAAAAATGTCTGGGAGAAAAGGCCTTGGAGGTGCTCCCCAAACCTCACCCTACAATCTGGGATGTTGGTGGGGTATAACTCAATCTGTCTCCACAGCGGCCATTATCCACTTCTCCGGCAACCTTCTGACAGTGACTGGTCCCAMGGCCACTGCTGGCATTTTTGCCACTTACCTTCCTGAACACATGATATTGTGGAGGGGCTTCCTGGATGAGGTCAGTAGTGTAGGGTGATAGAAGAAAAGATTCTGGATGGGGACTGTACCAAGACATGTCTCCACCAGGGTGTTTGGATTTAGGGTACAATGGAGACTCCGTGGCTTGGCTAGGGCCTCAGTAGGCTGCCATGTCATCTACTCCCCAGATGTTTATCACAGGGATGCTCCAGTTGTGTCTCTTTGCCATCACGGACAAGGACAACAATCCAGCACTTCGAGGGACAGAGGCTYTGGTGGTCGGCCTCCTCATTGTCATCATCGGAGCGTCCCTAGGCATGAACTCAGGATATGCTATGAACCCGTCCCGGGACCTGCCTCCTCGCTTCTTCACTTTCATTGCTGGCTGGGGGAAACAGGTGTTCAGGTACCGCCCTTGCCAAGCCCCATTCCTGTGAGTTTTCTGTGGGGCCCCTGCTTGCAGAGGGGTGGGGCAAGCTGAGCAGCCGCCCAGGAGAGTCCTGCAGAACATCCAGATAGCTCAGGGRGCTGGGGTGGGTCCTGATGTTTTCCCAGACCAGCACAGATGTAGACCTTGCTCTGGGACTGTCAACCCTACCCCTGAATCGGGCTGAGGTGGGCCAGGGCCCCTGGCAAGGGTGTCACCTGGGGTGACTCCTCTGCTCTCTCTGTCTTGGCCTGAGGTGGATGCTAGTGCCACCCTGGGCATTGGCCTCCTCAGCAGTCCTGTCTCTTGCCTGCAGTGCTGGGGACAACTGGTGGTGGGTGCCAGTGGTGGCACCACTCCTAGGTGCCTACCTAGGTGGCATCATCTATGTCATCTTCATTGGCTCCAGCATCCCACGGAAGCCTCAGAGTTTGGAGAACTCCATGGTGTTCGAAGATCACAGGATAACTGAATTGCCCAAGACCAGCCCATCCACGACCTCCCCCATTGCCCCTTCAATCCAGCCTGTSCCATCCTTAAGTGGCTCCATGCCTTTAGAGCAGTTCTAAGTTGAGACTGTCATCCCAACTCACCCTAATAAAGAATGCCTTGTCCCACAGTGGCACCCTCACTTTGTGGGGCCTCCTGTGGTTGGGCTTCCCTCCTGGCTCCTTCCAGGAGCTCCAGTGTTTATGCCTTAGCTCAAGTCTGGAGCATAGAGCTGAGAGGCCTCAACTCTCTCCAGCACAGGAGCTGGGGTGTTCCCTGAGGGAGAATTGGGAGGAACTGACCTGTGGCCTTAGGGTGAGGTGACAGGCATAGAGGACTCTGAGGGGGGTGATTTGATGTAAGGCCCAGAACTAGCTGGGGGTGGGGCAACTTTGGGCATATCTTGAAGGTACCTTGTGATAGGATTCTAGAGTCCCCCCATTTGTCCCTTCTTTAGCCATGGCCAGTTCTTGGACCAGACAAAGCAAGATCAAGAGTGCAGATCAGAATTTCTCAATATTTTTTTTCATTAGTGCCTTCAGCATTCTTTTAAATATTTTCTTAATGACACTTTTTTAATACCACAGGTATACTAAACCTATGTTTACTTACTCTATCCGTGCTTCATACATAAAAATAATGAGACTCTTTTCATTCTTGTTCCAATTTTCATTCCCTTGGAGATGCGTGGTATGGACTGAAAGCTAGTAAGGGGTTGGACTCGTCTTCCTCCTTCCTGAAATAAGAGTTACCACACATTAAGGAGTTCCAGAGTTGGGAAGGAAGATGTAATGAGGGAAATATTTTTGATCAGTAAAAAGGCAAGAAAAAGTCTCACAGAGTTCACAGGAAACAGGTCCAGAGTCTGGGTGGCAGCTTGGCAGCCAGGATATGTTGATGATGGGGCCAGGCAGAAACCAGCCATCCTGCTTTCTGGGATGTAGAAGGCAGCATCACTTGTGGTTCTTGTTGTTGTTCATATATTTAGCATTTACTGTGTGCAGACCATGCCTGGTCACTGAAGATGCATGCCTAATGGCTAAGGCGAGGTCTCTACCATTAAGGAATGCAGTATAATGGAGGATAGGTACTTATGAAAAACGAGTTAGAAAGTAGGATGTTTAGAGCTCAGAGGGGGTCTTACAGCCAGCCTCCAGTCTTCTCAGAGGAGGAGGCAAAGTGGAGTGAGGATTAGGGTGTCCTTTCTGGGGCTAAGAGACATCTGACAGTTTGAAGGGACAGGAGTCAGAGGATGGGCTTCCTTCTGGTGGGAGGATGGTGAGATGATGGAGAAAGCCCACCTAAGCTGAGTGTGCAGGATACAGGCAATGGGGGAGATTGGTCTACAGAGAACATGGAGAGAGGCAATAATCCAGGAGCAGCAGCAGGTACCTACTGGGTCAGCACTGTGGGTGGAAATTACTGATGGGATTTGATCAAGCCTAGGAGATATAACTAGCAGGACTTGGGCGTGGTTTGGAYGAAGGAGTGGGTGAGGGACAGGGAGAAGTCAATGATGACTTCCGGTTTCTGGCTTGGATGTGGGGGGTTGGTAATGTCACCACTGAAAGCAGAACACAAGGGAGGACTGATTTGGAAAGGAAGATAAGTAACATCACAGACATTTGAGTTGCCTATGGCACTTGAGGGGGGTGGGTGAGAGACGTGTGATATCTTGGGCAAATTAATCTCTCTGGGTCTTGATCTTCTTATTTGTTTTTATTTATTTTTTATGTAGTGCTGAGGATCGAACCCACGGCCACTGAGCCAAAACCCCAGCTTGATGATCTTCTTATTTGTAAATGAGGATAAGAGTATAACTTACCATGCTAAATGTGCTAATACATGTAAAATGCTGAAAAACAGTGCTGCGCCAAGTAAGTGCTCAATAATTGCAGTTGAGCCTTTTATGTGGTCTGGATCTCAGAAGAGAGCTAAAGGTAGAGATTCATGGCTTTGTGGAGATGTAATGTTTCATGGAAGAGTGAAAGGAGAGTCAGGGAGCAGGGCACAAGTTGGGTGGTCAAGAAGCACTGATAGCAACTCAGATGTCCACCAATAGAGGAAGAGATATACATGTTGCTATACAATCACCAATAACAGAATATTATACAACAAAGAAAATTAAGGCACAACAGGTACCTGTAACAATATGGAGAACATTTGAAGGCACAGAAAGCAATATAGTAGACTCTATACAATATGATTCCAGTTTTTTGGGGATTGAGGATTGAACCCACTGGTGCTTAGCGACTGAGCCACATCCCCAACTTTTTTTTTTTTTTAAACACTTTTTAGTTGTAGTTACACATAATACCTTTATTTATTTGTTTTTGTGTGGTGCTGAGAATGGAACCCAGGGCCTTACACGTGCTAGGTGAGCGTTCTACCACTGAGCGACAACCCCAACACCCCCAACTCTTTTTATTTTATTTATTAATTTATTTTAAAATATTTTTTAGTTAGAGGTGGACACAATATTTTATTTTTAAGTGGTGCTGAGGATCAAACCCAGTGCCTCACACATGATAGGTGAGCACTCTACCTCTGAGCCACAACCCCAGCCCTCTTTTTATTTATTTATTTATTTTTTGTGGGGTGTCGGGGATTGAACCCATTTATTTTTTATTTTGAGACGGCCTCACTAAGTTGCTGAGGCTGGTCTTCAGCTTCCCAAGTTGCTGGGATTACAGGCATGTGCACCCAGCTTGATTTCAGTTTTACAGATGAAAATCAAGAAAAATTAATATATCCTTCAGGGCACATACATGTATGTGAYAATACTGCTGAAAAAAAAAATGATGATTTCCCCAGGGAGATAGGGGTGTTACCTAGAGCTCAAAGGTATTGTAAGCTTTTAATAATTTTCTAGTTCTGGGGCTGGAGGTAAATTTATGAATGTTATGCTTGTGTTTAGATGTGCTAAAACATTTAAAATTTGTTATGTGGTGATATATATTTATGTATGTATGGATCATGTAAATGTGATATGTATTTTTGTATGCATGGGTCATGTATCTAAAAACACAAAGAATAGCTGCAGAGGGCTGGGGATATAACTCAGTTGGTAGAGTGCCAGCACTACAAAAAAAAAAAAAAAAAAGAATAGCTGCAGTGTAAGAATTGGGGCTGGGGGCTAGGCATGGTGGCTCACTCCTGTAATCCCAGGAGCTGAGGTGGCTGAGGCAGGAGGATCACAAATTCAAGTCAGTCTCAAAATAAAACATAAAAAGCAGGGAATGTGGCTCACTGGTTAGGCAACCCTGAGTTCAATCCCTGGTACCAAAAAAAAAAAAAAAAAAAAAAAAAAGGATTGGGGTTGGGGGTGACAAGTAGGGCCTGCTAAAATCACAGAGAATCCAGGGATGGAGGGGAGAGGCTTATGTCTGATGTCCATGCTGAGAGGAACAGAGTCAGGGGAAGCAGGGCCAACAGTGATCAGGGAAGGGCTGACAGTCAGCTGTACAGGGCCTCCCTCTTTGATCCTGTTGCATTCCTTTCCCCTCTCAGCTTCAGTGGTCCCATGAGCATGAGGTGGCCTTTTTCATTCCTGATATTTCAGAGGAACATGATCCTAAGACTTCAATCACATGAGAGGCAGGTCTCTGGGTCCTGCCCTCCTCTATCCCTCACCAAACACTCTGGCATCCTCATGTTCTCGGGAGGTGGCTCTGGAGGTGTTACTAATCAGTGTGGGGTGTTTTTCACTCAACTGGGGATAGAAATCATGAAAAGGCAAAGAAGAGCTCTTTCTGATGATCCCAGCTCTTAGTGTTAACAGCTAATCTGAGAATTCTTTAGCTCAGTTGAGATAGAAATCACAAAGAGGCAAGCAATACCATCTGAATGAGGCTTTATTGGGGTGTGTGCTTGAGTACAAGGGAGACAGTGCATGGACAGGTTTCCTAAACCGTTTGCTGAGGACACCAGGAGCAAAGCTAACACAGAAGGGGTGGGATCCGGMAGGCACAGTCAGCTGTTGCACACTGAGCTCAGAATTTCTGCACACTTGATCTTTATTCTCAGCACCAGGTTTTTCCCTTGACACTGGGATCTGTACATGTGCACTCAGTCTGTCTGCACTCAGCTTGCAAAAATGAAAGAGGTGCTTACTCTGCTACCCCAAGGTCAGTTAAGTTCAGGCCCATTGTACATGTAAAGGTTGCTGGAAAGCTTGGGGAAGGAGTGAGCAGCTCCTGAACTTGGTCATTGGTGGAAACAATTATTCAAAAACAACTTACATTGAGCAGGAAACCTTGGTGGGGGAAGCAGGGCCCTCCTTGCTGTTTCAGAAGCAGGACAGCCAATAGGTCCATCTGCCTGCTTTCCACTGCCCTGCCACAACCTTGTAGGTTTATTGCCTGTACCTATTTTAGGTTCTGGTCCCRATGTCAGGCTCTGATGAGTCCTGACCGCAGTCACAGAGCAAGTCTTCCTATTCTCTCAGCAGACACTGGTTGAAAGCCTACAGTATGGCAGATGACATTCTAGTGTTGAGGATATAGGCACAAGGAAGACAAACAAAAGTCCTTGTTCTTACTGAACTCACATCCTGTGCAAAATATATGGTATACTAATGATAGACAYTAAGAAGGAAAATTAGGAAGGGGGAATGGGAAGTGTGGGGAAGTGAGAAAAACAGAAAGCCTCACTGAGAAGACGATTTTGAGGAAGGACCTGGAGGGGCTGAAGGATGAGCCATGTGAACACATGAGGAAAATGTATGCTAAGCTGAAGAAATGGCTGGTGAAAAGCCATAAAGAAGGAAGTTAAGAGGGGCTGCTGAGCTGGAAGGGAAAGAGGGAGTGGGAAGTGGAAGAAGATGAGGTCAGAGAAGTGAGTGGGTAGACTGAGGACAGGCCCAGGGGAGGAGAGGACAAGGGTTGGGCAGGAGTGAGGGAAGAAGTCTCTAGAGAATGGCAGGTCCTAGTGCAGGAAGGAAGCAGCAGGTATGGGTGAGATGGGGATCACAGAACATGGGCTCTTTTTTTATTTTTTCCTTTTCATTTTTTTAGATGTTGATGGATCTTTATTTTATTTTTATGTGGTGCTGAGAATTGAACCCAGTGCCTCACACATGCTTGGCAAGTGCTCTACCACTGAGCCACAACCCCAGCCCACCTTATGGGT